TTTAGCTGTTGAGATACAGTCGAGCTCCGCTCGTTCAAGCCCTACACAAAGGCCTATACTGCCCATTCATCGGCGACCGGCGGTAATTCCATTCTTTCCATCTGAAACCTGGACACGAACTCCCTTAGCATCTCGTCGTTCCTTTGTTTTATTTTGAAGACGTCCGATTTTCTCATGGCCACCTTTATGGCCCCGGCGTGTGCTTTCACGAATTCATTTGCTAATATAGCAAACGAGTCAATAGAGTTAGGAGCTAAGTTGTGATACCAAATCATAACTCCTTTCGACAAAGTTTCTCCATACTTTTTTAATAAGACCGATTCGATCTCATCGCCATTCAAATCATTTCCTTTAATCCCGCAAGTGTATGAAGTAATATGCTCGTTGGGGTCAGTTGTTCCATTATACTTGGATATATCGGGCATGCGAAAGTTTTTAGGAATGGGCATCGGAGCCACACTCCGAGGGAATGGTTTTTGTATGAACTTTTTGGCGTCTAAACCTTTCAAAACTGGAGGTGCTCCCGGTATTTGTTCAATACGGGAGTTATAGGTTTCCACCTTTTTGTCATTGTCTTCAATTTTCTTTTATCAGGACTCGATCCTCTTAGTGAGCTCTTCGAGCATTCTCATAATTATGGGGTCAGTCCGCAAGCCGCTTTCATCTGGCCTTTCTAACGCCGGTTCAGTACGTCGAGAGTTTAGTGGTTTGGCTATATTCTGAGTCTTATTCTGACTCTGAAGTTGAGCGATGGCGACTTGCTGAGCTTGCAGCATCTCAAATATCACTTGAGGCTTATTCCTCCATCTCCCATTCCTTGCGTTCTTTGGCCTCAAGACTGGGCTTCCCTGCGTATATTTCCTTCGGGGTCCACGCCCAGATCTACATTCAAAGCAATGTGTGAACTAACATCAACTATTCCATATTTGGCACTTCTCCTGGGTTTATCGGTGGTACACCGACCCCTACATTGTTGTTTTCTCCAAGACCTTCATTGTCATGAATATATGCGTTTTGTGAGCTAGACATGTTTCAGCCTAAGAATTAAAAAATCTTAACAAGAAAAAGTGTAAAAACAACGTGTGTAATGAGAATCGGTAAAGAAATAATCACTATTATCTATAGCCCCACGGTGGGCGCCAAACTGTTTACCTTAAAAATACGAGTAACAATTAAACTTGATTAGTGGTTTTAAAGATATATGATTTAGTTCAATATCAATTGATAATCATGAAATATGAAGTAGAAATGAAAGAAATAAGTGAATCAAACCAATGTTAATCAGTAGTAGCGACCTCGAGCTTAGCGACCTCGAGGTGGGTCTAGAGCAATAATTAAGCAAGAAAAGTAAAGTAAGAGCAGTAGAGCTAAAGGACAATGCAGATGAACAGTAGGCGAAAAGGTAGATAGTATATTCTTTGCTCAAATATTAGATGATTTTACAAATGATTGGGGTTCCCTTTATATAATAGGGGAACCCTAAATAAGGTATATTTCTATTAACAATAAGGAATATTCTTGGCAAAGCTGTCTAACCGCCTAGTACGGAATTGTACAATCATATTCCAGGATTTGCGCCATGATCTTGGGAACGTGACGGGAATCTAGCTCATTCTGTTACAAATCCATAACAGTACTATTTCGGGGTCGAGAATACTTGGCCCTGGTGTTCCTCGTACTCTTAGCTCCGATTATTGCATTTTGTCTTCGAGCTCGACTCTGGTCCACTGGGCTCGAACTCGATCTCGCCCGAACTCAAGCTTAGGACGGACCCAAGAGCCTTTAAGTCGGAGGCATATGATTTTGACCGTATACAATATGAGCAACTTGCCTTGCTTGCACAAGTTATAAATCACATGCTCAAGTCTCAAATTCATGCAAACTATAATTCAGCCTTTTCAAAAATAACTTTACCCACTTTAAAGAGAAATTCGGGATATTCACTCATATTATTAATGATCTTAGCAGAGCCTTCTCTTCCACGTTAGTTTTTTGACTTATTTTGACAATCATTGGTTAGTGAATTCGCCTGTAACAACAAATTATACTTCATAAACCCAATATTTCTCGTCAATAAGGTCATATTCATCAAATGTTGGTAGAAACCAATCTAACATTCATCATGGTAATTAGTTCAGGACATTAGGTTAAAAAAAACAATTTTGCGTGACACCTAAGATCTAAGAATGGCCATATAAATAATGGTGCATCAGCAGACAAATACTAGATCAAAGTCGCATTATTAACGTTGAGAATTATTGATTGAACATAATTAATTAAGATAGAAAGTCAGATTGAAAGTCTTGTCAAGTATCGCATGACAAGTCACCTGATCACTATGTCTAAACAGGGAAATAAAGATCAATTAACAACTAAATATCATGAATTTTGAATAACGCTTTATCATTAAGTAAGTGCGACCAACGAAAACATTATCCCATGGATCGTGCATGATGCAACATACAATGTCCTAATGATTAGCTTAGAGACAAAATTAATAAAATATTTCTTACAATGAATTATCAAGACCCATGAATTTTTCTTCACTGTCATATTCCATATTAAACTTCGATTTGTTCACCACTTGCAATTAAGCTATTCCAATTTCGGTGGACGTATAATTTATTTTATTTGAATATTAAAATGGGGCATCTGGACTTATTAATTATACCTGGTTATTTAAGGGGGAAAAATTTGAAAAGACCTGGTTAGTTTGATTCAGCTTATTCAGGAGTGGAGGGGAAAATATATACTCCATTTTTAAGGTTGCTTATATTATTTTGGACCAAGTTATCTAATCCCTTGGGTGATAGAAATGTTCTCGCTCTCTAAACTCACAATGAGGAAGAATCATTTTAGACCTATTTCATAGTTAACCCAGGGAGATATTTCCATAAAAATCAAATGACACCATGGTGGCTCGACTATATAAAGCAATCGCTTGGGGCCCAACTTTTTGGGGCCCCGTTTTTTTCTTAAGATGTTTGTATATGTATTATTAATAAAATGTGTGTACATTTAAATTTAATAAGAATTTTTACGGGGAAAATACAATAACTTTAATATGATGATCGTTGTAATAATTAGAGAGAAATAATTTTTAATAAATCGTTACATGGGTAGGGTAGCTATTTTTTTGCTTCATTTATATCCTAACTAATACGTGCCCACATTATTATTTTATATTTATCTTTTTCATTCTCTCATTTACTATTCTTGTTCTCAATATTGAAAAGTCTCTCAATCGGCAACTTACCGCGGGTTACAAGTTGTCTTCTTCAAAATATCAAGCACTACAACACGCAATCATAATATTGAAGCAATGCACCCGTTTTTGATATCATTATATCAACTTATCTTGCTCTATAGTTTTTTACCCTTTGATTTTTGCTACTATCTATTGTTTCGCTTGTACTTCGATTATCTTTTTTATCTGTGATAGTTACTGTTCCTTTTTAGACTGCTTTATCATGACTTATTCGTTTTGGTTACTTTCATTTTCATACTGCATTGAATTGATTGTCCTTATCTGACATTTGTTTTGCCATGCTTTCTCTTGAATCGATCGTTTTTCCGAAATAACATCTCCACCTCCCAAGGTAGATTTAAGGTCTGCGAACACTCTATTTTCTGAGATCCCATTTTATGAATTTTTACTGGGTATGTTGTTGTATATAAACTTACTAAATTCTTGAGCCGGTTTTGTTAGTCTACTTTTATTTTATATTTTTTCATTGAAAATTTATAGTTGATATTAAATTTATCGTTGATATTCTTAGTTAAGGCCTTTTTATAAATTTAATTTTAGGCCCCAATCTTGAGATGGCCATGTATGACCTTTCATTTGGTCCACGCCAGTTTATTTCTGTACAAACACGCTTTCTTGTTTAAAGGTTTTCCAAACAGCAATATGGAGACACAATCATTTTATTCTAAATTGAGACACAACGAAATGGTTTACAGATAAAAAGATTGTTTGATTTTCTCCCCTCGCATTGGCTTCATTTCTTTTGTTGCGCAACTTCTCTTTCATACTACTTACGGGTACGGGTGTCAATGGTTCGGTTCGGACGGTTATTTTATAAAATTTGTATCATATCATTTTTTTGGTTATTCTATTATGTATAACTAAAATTAGACTTTTCGAAATCGTTCCAATCATGTCGGTTTCTCTTTGGTATTAGTACGGTTCGATTAATTTTCGGTATTTTTTTAAATATCGTGTAAAATTCACTAGTAAAAATAGAATGCAATAACATACGTTCTTTTATAGGATTTAGCAAAACACTCTAGACATTTTTACTGTCTAAAGGGTGATGAATTAAAAAAAATATGGCTAGAGTATAGATCTATCAATTATTCTACAACAACGTAAAAGAAATCAAACAAAGAAAATATAAATCATGAAAGATATACCAAGATAGACTCAAGAATAAAGTCTATAGAAGATAAAATATTCAAAAGATAAATCTAAATTATATGTAAGGAAACATATTCAATACATTGTAGTTTGCTTTTGTGTCTTGCTAATACAGATACTTAAAATAACTTAGTTTAAGTAGAAGTAGCATAATATGTTTTAGGAATTAGTATTTTGTGTTTAATTACCTGTTGGCTTGTAATAGTTTCCATAATTTCAAGGCCCAAAGAAAATTTAATGCATTATTATTTTTAAACTTACCAAATAAATATATTTTCCACATGTAAAATTTATTCGGTACAGTTCGATATTTTTTCGAATACCCTAATTATCGGTACGGTTATAGATTTATATAAAAACCTACGATTTCTTAAAAAGAAACCTAAAAATCGGTTCGGTACGATACGGTTCGGTCAGTTTTCGAATATCTATTGACACCCCTAATACTACTGGTACTTTTTCTTCTGTTGGAAAAGATTCATAAATTAGTTACTTTTGCACTTTTATTTTAATAATAAAAATTACATAAGTCGACCTTATTAACAACTCTCCAGTCTTACATAACGAATGTATTCCTATCTAATTTATAACTAAAATAATGTATTAACATTCACAATATGGGTCCAGTAAAGACATTATTACTATAAAATATTGATCTATAACTTCCTTCATTATCTAATCTAATTTTCTATTGTACCATCTAGCAGTTGCGTCACAATCATAATTGAAAAATGACAAAATAAACAGCCTAAAATATATTCTCCTTTAAAATAATTGGTGGACTTGTTACCAAATAATTCTCTAAATGAGTACAATTCACCAAACAATCAAATCATCGAGGTGCTAAGGATACGGATATTTCCGTGGGCATTTTGACCCGATCCGACCAAAATTTGGACTCTAAATACAGCTTTGATATCTTACCCGCCACGCGGCGCATGTCCGGCCTATCATCTGGCTCCACGTGTACACAGTCCAATGCCAAACGCATTACCTTCTGCGCCACCTCGACCGGGAACGAGTCGCGCAACCTCCCGTCCACCCATTTCCTCAACCGCCTCTCCACGCCTACGCCGCCGTCGTCTTCCACATCGCCTCCGCACTCAACCGCTTCCGTCGCCGTCTCTATAACGGAGATTTTCCTGTAATTTCCGGTTGCCTTGTCGTACTTGTACCTCACAGGCTCTTCGCCGGAAAATAATTCCAATAGCACAACTCCGAATGTGTACACGTCGGACTTTTGTGTTGCTACTCCCGTCAGCTGAAATTCCGGCGACATGTAACCTCTTACGCCTTCAAATTCACGAGTCTTACTCGCCCTTCGCTCCGGCGGTGAATCCGCTGACAGCTCCTCGCCGATCTCGCCGCCGCTCGTCACGACCTTACTCTCGGTTACACTGCAAAGCTCCGCCGCTCCGAAATGGCAAATCTTCGCATTAAAGGAAGGCTCTGTAACGATGATACCACTACTCTTTACATACTTGTGAACCGGTTTTATATCCAAACCAGTAGTATTATGAATATAATCAAGGCCGTGAGCTACATCGGTGGCGATTTGCATTCGAGACATCCAGGTAGAGAGAACTGTATAGCTAGGATTTTTTGGGTTTCGGAGGCAAAGGGAAAGATTACAACCGGCGACAAAATCGTAAACTAAGTAAATGTGATCGCCGGAAATCGATGCGCCGAGGAGTTTAATTATACTTCTGTAATGACTCCTGCAAATGACTGATAATTTTGCCCTTAATTCAGATTTCTCCATGGATTTCTGGATTCTTCGTTGGAAGATAATTACATCTTTGCCACGGAGTGTGCAACGCCATGACTGGGAGGAAGAGGTGGAGGAGTAACGCTTGGCGAGGAAGTTGTTGGTGGCGGCACGAATATCGGCGAAATCATAGACTTGAGGATTATCCGGCAAGGATGACCGGAAACTGGAAAGGGATGCCTGGCTGGAGACGGAGGTGGTTGCGACGGAGGTGTCGAGGCGGTATTCGGATCCCGAGTTGGAGTTGGAGTTGTAGCTGATCCGGTTGCTGCTGTTAGATGGGCCGGAGTGAGGAACTGGGGATTTTGGTGGTTGGGTAGAAGTTGCTGAAGATAGAGATTGTGGGTGTCTAGAGGAGCTTCCTTTAGGGGTTGTTGGAGAGCCAGATCTTGTAGATGGGCTTGGAATGGGCTGTGCAGCATCCACTGCCATTTTAGTTCTACACATAAAGAGGGGATGTGAACTGGGGATAGCTGAGAATTTGGTTATCGCTTATGTAGTGAAAAATCGTAGTTGGGAAAAAAAGATCATTGGAACTTTACGAGACAGAGGAACAGTAGATAATGAAAACTGAGTCACAGAATTCCTTTTAGTCTAATAAACTAAAGTTGCGGTGAGTAGGGGCTGGCTGTAAATTAGGAAGGTGGGATAGCTGCAGATGCTTTTGAGGTTAGCAGTTTGGGTTCGTATTCTTTCTGGAAAACACAGGAATAGGACATGCTTTGCTTTGGGGCCTTTGGGGGACTTGGATTGTGGTTTGGGGTTTGAAAAGGACAGGAGTTTGCCTACTCGGAAAAGACATTTCGTGTTGACCCTGGTGGGGTGTTGCGTGTTTGTTAATGTCTATTGAGCATGCTTCTTTTCTTTTAAATATTTGGTAGTTCTTTATTTACTTTTATGTAAGCAATCTCTTGTTCCACCAAAAAGATTTAGACTTTTTGTTGAACCAATTAAATAAAAGAAGTTTAGATAAATCCTAGCCAACGATAGTTTACCCTAGATCTAAGATAGAAGATAAGAGTAAGTAAACAAAGCAAGCATAAGATTTAACTATAACATTGATTAAATCTCATTATATAAGAAGAGGATGGTAATTTTCATAACATTAAACAATAATGAAGAATACATGGATGAAAAGGATCACCAATCTTTAACAAGGTAGAACCTCATACATTTGATATGATGAGACTAACGATATAAATTGAGGATCTGAGCTTCCTTGCTTCTTTCTCCTTCGTGGGGGGAGAGAGAGATGAAGATCCTTCCTCTTCTCAGAGAACATGTCTGTGTGTGGATTTGTTTCAGCCTCCTTTCTTCTTCTTCTTCCTTAGTTTATATACTAGGTCTTCTCCTTTACCTAACAGTCATTAACTGCAGTACTTAAGTCATTTGCCTATATTACAGGATGACCTTTTGAAATGTCGTAACATCCAATTCGCCGCTCAAGCGTTCTGAATACATGACCTCGGTCGTGGCCAAGGTGCGTGTCGTTATAGCGTTGTATGGATACAACTTTGGCCCAAGTAACTTTTTGTCGTCCCTTTCCACGCAGATTCTTGTCAGATTTTGACCCATATAGTTAGTTCATCCGCCTGTTGGGGTCACTTCTTGGCGAGATCAATGGGCGGACTCTGTCAATTCGAAAATTGTGAGAAATCTGAGCACTTTATGCGAGAGGCAAGCACCTCGTGGCGAGGTAGCGACGTGACATTTTCGAGAGTTGCGTCGGAACGTCACGTCAGTTCAGAATGTCATTAATACTTCTCATGCATCATTATGGTGCACGTTTTTTATGCATCGCGTCGTTTCCCTTGCCCTTTTCGTTTTCTAAATGGCGGCGTTTGGTTTTCCCTTTCGGGGCATTTATATCCCTATAAATAGGGGAGAATCTTCCATTTGACTGTTACGCTTCTTAATCGCTCAAGAGAGATTTTTGCAACTCTTCTTCTTCGCCTTCAGTTTCTCATATTTTTGTTTCTGTTAGAAATTCTTGTGACCGCTACCTTTTTCCCTTATCATTCCCGTTTCTCTCAATCAAAGAAAAGATGGCTAGTGCATCTTCCAACCCTGATAGAGTTGTTGGTGCTCCGGTGCGGAAAATGATGTACCCCTAATCGAAGAGGGAGTGGGTCCGATGGGGGACGAGAGTTTTACGATGGTAGATGAGGTGGTTATCCATCCAGGGAAGGCGAGGACTGATTTCAACAGCCCTGCTGGGGATGAGTCGGAACCTGTTCTCTCGATGATGGATGTTGCGGCGCTCACGGTGTTCAAATCCAAATGGGGGACTCCCAATCTCATTGAACTAGTTTCGGCGGGTCAGGACATAGTGCATATACACCTCCTGGGCTACTGCGCGTTCTACGCATATCCATTGTCATTGGATACACACTTCCCATTCCCTCGTTGGCGGTGGACTTATGCCGCTTCTACGAGGTGTTTCCGGCTCAACTCTCTCCGTACGTATACAAGCTTTTCCTTATGCTTAGCAAGTACGCGGAGCTAGCCGATCGGGGAGTTTCTCCACAACACATGCTTCATCTCTTCGCCCCTCATTTTCTTAGGGGCACGATGATTTACCTGCGCCATCGAGGAACCAAGGGTTTGGTGGTGAAGATGGATGACAAGACCAACCCCCAGTTTTGGGAGAATTTCTTCTACGTCCGAACAGAGCACGTGGTGTCGAACCCTGCGGGATTTCCTGAGGCGTGGAATTTTGCCTATAAGTCTCTCTTTCCTTTTATTATATTACATTTTTTTAACATGGTTGTTGGTCGTCTCTCTTTAGTGACCGTAGTGTTTTTTGTCTTCGCAGCCGAGAGGGTGCCTCTTTCGCAAGTTGCCAACATTCACAAATGGGTGAGCGCGAAGCGAATGGGCGCCTTTTCATGAGAGGTTTGGGCGCAAACCTTCCACTAGTAAGTTGGCTTATTTCGGCCTTAGTTGCTTTATTCTTTGCTCCGTCCTTTTCTTTACCTTATCTTTGTTTGATTGAATTTCTTGTTAGTATGTCGGAGAGGAGCGAGAAGGGCAAGGGCTCCTGCCCTTGCTTTCCGTCAACCGACTTCCTCTACCCGACCCATACCTAGAGCAACTATGGATGAGGGCGACCAAAGTTTGGTTTCTCGACGAACCGCGTCCGCGACTGAACCCGTTTGTTTGGAGGTTGCTCCTCGGTTGGAGACTCTGGTCCCCACAGTCCGTTCAACAGGTGAACCTTCTCGTGGAAGTGGCGAAAAGGCCCCGTCAAAGAGGTGGAAGATAGTGTTGGAAGGGGCATCTTTGGCTAAAACGCCCTCGAGGGGCAACCTTGTTTTGGCGGTGCCTGAAACTGGCGGTGGTGCCAGCCTGGGTATGGAGGCTATGCCCGTTGTGGGCGTGAAAGAGGCTTCTGCAGAAAAGGGATAGAGTTCCAAGGCTGCCACGACTGTTCCGAGTGGCCCATCGACGTCTCGGACGGCCCCGTACCCCATCTTCGGCTGATGAGAGGTTGAAGGCATAGTGGTGGAGGATTATGAATCCTATTCTGACATCGATCCTGAGGACATGAGGATGTTCGAGAAAGGCTTTACCAAGTTCGATGTAAGGGCAGAAAGCCCTTCCCGTGTGCTCAAAATCCCGTCGAATTTTAGCCTGTTGGAGGACACGATGGATTTGGTGCCTCAATTTGACCTTCTATGCTCCGCCACTGAAAGCAGATCTCTTCGAGAGATCAGTGATTTCGGTTTGTCATGTGGTGTGGCTGGGATGGCCTTGAAGGTGAGTTTCCTATTGCTATTTTCCTTGTTTTGTGCCCTTTCATTTCGCTGATTCTTCTGTTTTTTTAGACTTACATGTTGGAGATCTAGAGTGCTCGTAGGGTTGAGACGCGGGCCGAAGTCTTTCTGAAAATGGCCGAGAAGTATCGGAGGTATCATAACAGGTGCCGTGAGATGCACGAGCAGCTTAGGGTGGGCACTAGTACTCAATCCATCAGGGAGGAGTTGGAAAAAAGGGACGAGGATCTGATGTGGTCTATCCGCAGATGCAGTGAGCTCGAGGATCTACTTAGTGCCACAGACGAGGAGATCGAGGTGGGCAAAGGGGTTGCAGCAGAATGCGAGGACTTCCCGGCGAAGGAACTGTCTTTGCGAGCCGAGCTTGAGCAGAATGCCACTAGAGTCGCCAACCTAAGTGCAGAGTAGACAGAGAAAGTGGCTGAGCTAGAAACGAATGTAGCTAATTTGGAAAGAACTGAGGGAGCTCGAATGGCGGCTTTGGTGAGGGCGGCGGCGCTGGAAGACGCTATTCGCGTCCTCAGGTCTGAGTGGGAAACTGAGAGTGAGACGACCACAGTGGGGGAATCACAACTCGAGGAGTGGATCGGTGAACTTGATTGGGTTGCTTCGAGCCTGGGAGACCAAGTTACGACTCTCGGGGCCGAGAAGGTGCAGCTGTTGGCTCAGGCCCGCCCTCAAGAATCTGCCCCTATTGATGTCCCCTACCGTTTGTACAAGCTATGGGTCCATGCTGAGGCCTAATGAGATATATATATATATATATGGGTTTGTGAACTGCGGGGAGAGTTCTTGAGGCCGCTTTTGAAGATGCTCGGGTCAAGGCATACGAGGCTCGTCTTGCCTGCAGTTATGACCCTGCGACACCAGATGCCGATGGGGGTGCTGAGATCGACGATGGGCTTCCTTACGATGATGACAATGCTGGAGAAGATGATGGTGGAGATGAGGCCGAGTGAAATTTTTATAGCTTTCTGTACTTTTTTTGTTCTTTTGTTGTTGCCGGGTGGGCCCCACCCCTTTTTGGCCCTTTGTAAGATATCTTTTCTTTGAATGAAATGGTCGGTTTGTCTTCGTTCGTATGTTTTTTGGCTTTTCCTTCTCGTTTCCCTTTCGAATTTCTTGGATTTTCTCGCAATAAGTCCCTGAGTTTTGGTAGTTGATCCGAGTAGGATCGAATTCGATTCGCTAATTTGAACTCGACTTTGTTAACCCGAGCAGGGTCGAATCTCGTCTTGCAAATTTTGAGCGAAGCCAATTTGGATTTGTTAATTCGATCGAGGTCGAGTTTTATCATACCAGTTTTGAGCGAAGTCACTTTTGACTTGTTAGTTCGAGCGAGATCAGACTTTATCTCGCCAACTTGGGTGAGGTCACTTTGGACTTGTTAATTCGAGCGAGGTCGAATTTTGTCTCGCCAACTAGGGCGAGGTTAGTTTTGACTCGTTAGTTCGAGCGAGATAGAATTTCACTTTTGCTTGGCAATGGCCGGGGAACGCATGGGTATGAATTCAAATAAGGTCGAATTGTGACCCGTGATGAGTTCGATTGAGATCGAACATCGATTTGTTAATGACCAACACGGGGATGATCAAGCTATTGATGAAGCATTGAAGCAATTAATCGCAGAATAGGTCAACAATGCTTTTCAAGCTTTTGTTAGTGGGTTGCCAACTGTACCACCAACTCAACCTCCGAATAACACCGCGACCATAGAAAATCCACGCTCGGGACTCGCCAATTCGGGGAGTGGAGGAACTCCCAGCGAATCTCGTGATGGAAGGCCAGGTATTCCAATTAATTCTGATTTACAAAATTTAGTACTAACTCTGTAGAAACAAATCAAGGAGCAGAACGATCGCATAGAGCATATACCTGGTGTTCCGCCCATAATCAAAAGGGTGGATATGGATAAATATTCTCAATAACCCTGGAAGCCAAGTGCCGCTCCTTTGCCTATTCCAAAAAAGTTTAAAATGCCCGATATCCCAAAGTATGATGGGACAACCGATCCACAAGATCATGTAACTACATTTACAACTAGCGTGAAAGGTAACGACTTGACCAAGCAAAAGATTGAGTCAGTGCTAGTCAAAAAATTCAGTGAAACACTCACAAAGAGA